AGTCATAAAAAATTGTATTTAAACGCAGGCACAATTCAACGAGATGAGCTAATTCCCCATACACGAATGCATAAATAAATCAGTAGACATTACCTTCTCACACTCTTCCCTGAAAAATTCCAGCAAATCCATCCTAGCTACAACGTCTAGATCAACAGTGACCTCATCCAGCAGAAGAACCTGGATAATACTAGTAAGATTAGCAAAAAGTTCGTTGGCTGAAACAATTCTAGGAAAAAGACATTGACCCGATTAGACGAAAACTGTGCAATCTACCCACTTCATGCATTTTCTTGCAGATGACAGGTATTGCCACATTTTCAGCTCCGCAAGCCAAAACTGGATGTTACTTATCCCTTGCCTAGAGCATAGAAGCGGAGGAACAAAAATGAAAAGAATTTGGAGAGCTAAGACAGCAGCGCAAAAAATGCTAGAAAAAAACTCCTCTTGAGCTCTACTCGGTGCCCTCTCCTCTCATTCTCCCACCTCCACCCCACCCGACACCCAAAAAAGGATTAAAATGAAAGGAAAAGATACAATTAATAACAAATAGCTGAGAACAAAAGATAGGTAAATGTAACAGATTTATAATTTGATCAACAAGTTACAAGACTGTAAAATATTTATTATGTTCCCTACAACGGGCTAAATGTGACAAAATATAATTTTTCTTTTCGACAAGCGCTTCTTACTCCTATATATAATTAACATCTTGTGAAAAAAGCAGGACAAAAGGATACCTTATAAGGATGAAGAAGACCCATGCAGATCTGGACTCGACGTCGCTGACCATCAGAAACCTTGTGCATACGCCACTGCAGATCAATATCGAGCAGTTCGATCAACTTCTCTCGCCTAATAGGATCAACCCCTTCAACTGGATCATAACAAGGAAAAGCAAGAGAAATTCAGTTATGTCTTCATTTCTCATCAGACTCAACAATTAAATAGTTGAGTATATATTCCAGAGGATGATATGCAACTTAAACTACCATGTCATTATGAATAATTTGATCATGCAGTTCAAAAAATAAAAAATAAAAAATCCACACTCAAAACTTTTGACACCAGAAAAGTGGAAAAGAAATTGATCATATAATGGAAATACAACATGAACAGTGACTCGTCACACAGTCAAAAGCTACACAGTACTGAAGGTTTCACACACCTCCAAATATCATGTGTTCAGCAGAGAAGTCTCCTTGGAGAGGCAATTCTCCCTGCGATTTGGTAAAAACAAAGCATACAGAATCTCAGATTGGCTTCCAAGAACACATGTTGACTAAAGACATTATCATAATTATTCAATAGAAACCGTGAACCACCAATGATTTTCTTAAATTCATAAACAAGCACCATTCAAATTAGAGCAAATAAAATTCAAATATCTATTTGGTATTAAGATGATCAGTTTTCCCAAATGACAAGTAAAATTAAATTTAAGTAATCAACGGATGGAATTCTGGTTTAAATTACTAATAATAACTAAGGGGTTAAGCAAAAGCAAAGCTAAAAAAAAAAAA